TTTGATAGGTTGTTTGTGTCTTGGAATGAGAGCTCACATAGACCTCTCTTTCTAGCATGCATCTAGGCAACTGAGCACGCTATCACCATCATTGTCATCTTCATCATCATTGCTATCCTCATTGTTATCATCTTCATTGCCAGTATCTTCATCTTGCAGTGTTTCTTGAGTCGCCACACTAGTGACTTTGCCTGCTGCAACTTCTGTCATCTGGTTGATGATTAGTGCACCGCTTTCTTCTGTACCTGCCAATTTGAATTGCCTTACCATAAAAGGATCCTTAAAGACAGAACCTCCCTTTATAGCAGGCTTACCAGCAGATTTCACAGGTGCAGATTTGGATACAGGCACAGTGGCAGTAGGCTTAAGCGCTGAACTTAGAACTATTTGGGCAGTAGAGGGTCCAGCCACTGGAGAAGCTAATGCAACAATTGGCTTAGGAACAGGCTTGGGCATGCTGAAAACAAGGACCACAGGTTTTAAAGTCTGGTGCAAAGGTCCTGCTGCAGGTGTCTTAGGTGCCACCATCTCATCCTCCAAATCTTTTAATTCTATGATCTCCTTTCCCTTTCTCATGCCAATCAGCTCTTCAATATGTTTGTGCTTGATTTTCCTTATTACATGGACTCTTTCATCTTCCTCTTCCTTGTTGCTATTGCTATCCATCAACTCTGTTGACTTGAAAGCTCACTTAGCATCCATTGGTTCTAAATCAACTACAAGAGCCTTTGCCTTCCCCTTTCTCTTGAAACCCTTCAAAACAAAAAATTCTGACAATTTACCTTGCTGCTCGAGGAAAGCCTTTGCTGCCTAAACCAGTTTAACATGCTTGGCTATGACAAGCGCTTCTAAAGGAGGACATTTTTTCTGCATCCTCCACCAGTAGTTGTGAAATACAAGCTCCAGAGTCTTCCACCTGCCTGGATGACCAGTAATGTGGGAATCATGATGATGTTCTACAATTTGCCTTTGGAGCTTGGAGATGTTAAAAACATAGATGCACCCTTTAACTGTAAGGTCAAAGAGAGGACATGCATGATGTGAGAAGTCTTTAATGAATCTTTGGTAGAAGTTGATGAAGCCCAAAAAGGCCTGTATCTCTCTCTTGTTCTTGGGCTCTGGCCATTCTGCTACACTAGCCACCTTTACTAGGTCCATCTCTGCTGTTTCATGTGAGATGATTAGTCCAAGGTACTCAACCTTAGTCTGCTCAAACTTGCACTTCTTAGGCTTGAGGTAGAGCTGGTGTTGGCAAAGATGTTCCAAGACAATGCATATGATCTGTTGATGCTCCTCTAGTGTTTTGGTATAAATGAGGATATTATCAAGGGTAGACATGCTTTCTGCAATCAAGTCATGGAAGATGTCATTCATCATCGTCTGAAAGGTGGCTGGGCTATTAGTGAGCCTAAAGAACATTATTAGAGGTTCAAAGAGTCTACAGTTAGTTTGAAATGCAGCCTTTTACTCATCCCCTTCTTTGATGTGCACATCATTGTAGCTCTAGCAGATGTTCAACTTGGTGAAGTAGCACACACCTCAAAGGTTGTTGACTAGCTCAGAAATAAGCAGAAGGGAATAACAATTCTTCACCATCACTGCATGTTAGAAATAGAAAAGTGATCACACCAGGAATTGAACCTGGAACCTCTTGGCAATGTGCCCCATATACTGCTCTAGCCACTGAGCTACATGGTCTGATTATATAAGAAGCTAGAAGGTCATGCATATGCCTTCTAGACCTGAGGTGATTCCCACTACTATCACTAAGGCTTACTACAGGGGCTGAAGCACTGGATAGTTTGTGTGAGAATTCAGAGCTTTACAGCTGTTATGTGACTTGTCCTGTCATCACTTGACATGGTAGCAGCAATGATAAAAACAGGCAAAGCACAGGAGACTGAATAGTCACTTAAGCTGAAGTCTTGAGTTAGAAACTGAGTGTATTGAAGGTAAGTAAAACACTAACCTGAAGTCCTAAGTTAGAAACTGAGGACTTCAGATGAATCTACCTAGATATATATACTAAGGTAGATAGTTCATGTGATAAAACTGAATAGAGACACATGTGATAGAAATGAATAGAAAAGTACAATCACATGTTTAGCCAATACAAATGTATGGCATGTGATTGTAAAATAAAAGTAGCATGTGTTAAATGATAAACTTGGAGTAATGTGATAATTATATGGAGAATTCTAACATCAGTATCAGTTGGAAACAATGGTCAAAAATTGGTTTATGCATTGCAACAGCTGGGGCACTAAAGAGAAGGAAGCTTATGTCTGAAAGACCACTATACTAATGAGTTCATTGCTAATCATCAACAGTGCTTTTATATAATCAGTTTGACTTTGGTCAGTTTTTTCTTCTTGACTGACATTTCTTCCTGTATGTTATCCAGCTTATAAACTCCTGAGAATAACAGAATAAGATGTTTTAGTGATTGAAAAAGAAGGAAATAGATAAAAACAGACTGTCTCCTTACAGGTTCATTTTGATATCACCTTCTATCATAAAGATAGTGTGTGCAGACAATAAACTTGATTTTTGAGATATAATTCCTGCCATGTACTTGAAGACAAATGCTCTAAATTTATAGGAATTGTTGACTTTACAACACACAAAAAATATTAAATTGCACAAGATCAAAAAAATTCAAACAGTAGCACATTTAATTTGTAAGACCTGAGTCAGATCACTCATTCTCACACAATGGAAGCCCATTCTGTGCAAGTATGTTTGGTGTACCTAGGGCTGTAGTCTGTTCAGCTCAAGTGATATTGATATGAAGTGATTAACTTACAAACATTGGTAAGAACACCTTTGAGAGCCAGATTATTCAATTTATCTTTCATTTCATCTGTAGTAAACCTTTTAAGTGCCTGGAGAGTAGCAACAAGGCCTGAGACATAAGCAGCAGACTGTATGTCATTCATTAGTTTTTGTATCAATGGCTTTTTTGGATGGAAATGTTACATACCAAGGATGTTCCAGATCCAACTCTGATTGACTAAGCAGCAATAAGGCAATCAATGAGCATAAATTGAAGAAATCACTTGCAGACTCACATATTTATTTTGATTAAAAGGGCAAACAATATTTTCTCCTGGAGCAAATATATCAACAGCTGGCCCATAATTTGAAAATGAGGTTTGTTGATCAGTGATATTAGAAGCAGCAACAGTGATTGCACTTTGAACATGAGCAGGAGAATATGAGCTTGCAGACTTTGCAAAATTCCCTGCAGCAGCCTAATCAATTGCTAGATTAGGCAGAAATCTTTGCAGAAGATTAAAGGACAATGCATACAACAACAATTATGTTGTCCTCTGTGAGCTAGAATAGTTATGATCAGACTTTCACTTTAGTGAAAAGGCTTTGAAGAGAGCATAGCATACTCTGATAACAGCATCATCAAGGAGTGGATGTACAGAAAACCAAAGGGACATGTTAATAACAGAAGGGCGGTGGGAGGCCTTGACTGATTGATGAACATAGTCTAATCCAGCAATTCTAGACAATGAGCATAAATGTGATTAGAAATTCACAAATTCTTACAGTTGACTCACACATCAGAAACTGAAACTTCGCTATTATACAACTGAAATCAGATACTAGAAGGTTTGAGCAAAAATAGCCAAGATTTACCCTGAGCTACCTGTAACTTTGACTGCAATAATATTAGCATGCTTTGCAACACCATATGTGCTGCCAGCTGCAACTCCACTTTGTTACAATAAGAGCTAAAGAATCAGTCTCAAACTCAAAGACTGACCTGCAGCTTGTTCCATGGCCATTCTCATCTATATTAGGCTGTCCAGCAAATGTCTTACCCCACTTTGCACGTCCTCCAAAGTCTCTCTGTATAATATTGAGCAAAATTATAGAGGTAATTTTTGTAAAAGCTTACATGATCAGCATAAACTCCTTTATAAATCTTAGCAGAAAAAGTGATTCACTTTTTATATAAAGACTTACCAGAATCTAAAGCCATTATTTCAAGGAATAAATTTCAAATAAAGCTATGTAACCTTTACAGAAACGCACCAACAACATATATATCAGCACCTTTACCTGCATTATCATTGTACTGAAATTTGAAATTAGTTGCTCTAAACAGCACAATGTTAGTTAGTTTGACTACCTAAATATTAACAGTACATACGTAATCTTTGTGTATCGCAGCTTTTTTGCAGAACTGAAGCGTGCAAGTCCCCAAGTAGCATTAGTTCTAATGTTCATACAGTTGTTATATGCATGTCATCAGTCAATAATGAACAAATGGAAAGATAACAAACTGAATCATGGCAATCCTTCCAACACCATCCTCATAGATACCAGTGACATCAGGATTAACTTGAAGCTCTTGAAGCTGCTTATCAGTGAATTTGCCTGTAAAACAAAAGAAATAAAGATGTTGAATAGGAAAAATAAATGGAAAATGTATAATACCAGCACAGCCATTGATGAACTTGTAACAGTATTTTATGTTGTTCTCTTTAGCTCCATATGAGAGTGTAGCATTGCTAGTTTTGAATGTCACAATATATCCACCAGTTGTTTCACCAGCATATTTGACAACATTGATGAGAGAGTGGGGTGTAACAAATGCTGGAAGAACTAAGGCAATACTAGCATAAAAAGCAGAATAGAGATACATTATGGAGGGAGGAAAGCTCACTAATAGGACTGAGGATGTGCTACCTGATATCCTTACTTTTATACCTTTATTTGTTTCCTAATTGGTCAAAAAGCAAGCAGTAAAAGAAAAATGCAAGATGCCAGACAGATCAACATACTAACATGAAACAAATGATGTAGTGAAACAGCATGAATATTCTCAGTATGTGCTTTCTCCATCCAGTGATAAACATCATCTAAGCAACATTAATCTGTGATGGCTCTGCTTTAAATAGAACATATTAGCATTCTACATAGTAAACTAGTTGGATTCCCTGTCTCATTAGAACATACCAACCACATTACAGCTCTGTGACTTATTATTCAGAGTAATACTAAGCTCTGGTACTGCCAGTGATTTGATATCCATAGCTCTGTTAATATGAAATTATACTTCTTCAAACTCAACCTGATTTTTGTAGAGGAACTAAATGTAACACAACTTTCATATTGCCTGTTTAGTATATTGATTTTACCTTGATTCACCATGCCATTCTAATCCTAGAGATTAGCTGCAAAGATTCCTTTCAAAGTGACTAATAATGATATGCATAGCACTAATTAATTGAAAATAAGGTCATCAAAAGCAGTCTGGCAGAGCTGCATCCTTGATTTTGTCATGGTGATGGAAGGATATCAAGATATGTATATGCAGCTCCTGCTCCTTTACAAATCCTATGCCTAGGATACCCAACCATGAGCCACAGAGTCCTGCTGCCTAAGAGGCTAGGCCTGTTATTTCCTATCCAGGAGCTAACAAGCTTGCTCTTGTGCTTGGTAATAACCAGAAAAGAGGTAGTGGTAATCCACTGCATTGTTATAATTGTGGCAAATTGGGCCAATTTGTTAATGGCTGCTCACAACCACCTAAGGTTTAGATGCATGCTGCACACAAGGCTAGAAGCCTCCATAATAATGGGAATGACACTCCTGAGAGTGAGCATGATCCTCCAGATAGTGAGGAAGGGTCTGGTTGACAATGCAGAAAGTGTCTTCATAGACAGAGATGAATATGTTGCCATAGACATATATGATAATGACTATTATCTCTAAGATGAGGAGGATGAACACTAGTGGGTTCCACTACTTCTGTATCATACTACACAAATCTGGCTCTGCTGTAATGTATGACACATACTCTTGTAATGCTCTACTCTACAGTACATATGGTTCATCAACCACTGGAACCAATTTTTTCACCAAAGCCAATATTCACTGCTAAAGAAAGAGCAATTTTTAAATCATACAAAGAAATGTATAGGCAGGAGCCAAATCCTCATGCTAGGACTGCTATATTAAAGGATAAAATTTTAACAGATATTTTCAATTATTGCTTGTTGCTTGCTCAAATCCCCCCATAGATCCTCCCTACCCTCCTTTCCATGCATGGATCAAATATCCCAGCCTCATTTTCTGTTGGTGTCACAACCCATTATTTTTGCCTCGTCATCCTGCACAACTTCCCCACCATGCACCTTCCCCACCATCACCAACGTGTTCTGAGATGCTTTACACATCAGCCACTTGCATCACCAACCTGATCTGCATCTCTGATGCTTTTTTTAGGATGACATCTCCAAAACATGCCACAATGGCTTGCCACAGCTCACCCCCACATCTGACTACCCACAAACCAACCATACAGTTCAGTGCTGTGTGTCTTGGCACCCCCCTTGACCCTCTCTGATGTCATTCCAAAGATCTGTTCTGCTGTAATACTTAAACCTGCATACCATGGTAGTCAGTCCTGAGTCTTGATATTGCCAGCTCTTTTGTTCAACTCTGTTCTACTTTGTATTGTCATACTAAGTCTCCCAGTTCTTCTCAATCTATTCTGTTTTCTGTTTTCACTTTCTGACGCTGCTCTAAGTCCTCTGATCAATCTTTCTCTTGTCAGACTTTGCATCATCGACACCCAAACCCCAACTTCTTGGTGTGTCTTGTGTTCTCAACAACTAAGACCACTTTGACACCCCATAAGTCTACATGCCAGTTTGCAGATCTCTCTGACTAGT